GCTCTGGGCAGGGCGGGGGCGGGGTGGGTCCCAGGGGATCTACAGGGCAGGTGGAGCAAGCAGTTATGGCTGCTCTCAGTTCCGTCCCTAGGGGCTCTGCCTCACAGAGTCCCAGCAACCACTGCAAACCTCAGCTAGAAAGCTGCCTTCGAGTTCCGACCAAAGCCAGATAGTCCCGCTTCTCCCGTTTGAGTCTGGGTCCCTAGAGCCTTGCCCAGAACGGGAGCTCAGAGCCTGAGACTCCCTCCCGATTGAAAACGACAACCGCGCCCTCAGCCGCCAGCCCGCTCCGCATGCACTCCGCACCTTAGTATCTCACTTCCGCACTGCGCCTCCTCTGAGTCTCAGTGTTTCTCTCTTTCCTCCTAGTTGTAGAATTTCCACTCAGCCAGCCTTCCTGTGGTTCTGGATGATGTCCGTTTCGTCTTTTAGTTGTATTTTTGAAGTGGTTGTTCAAGGCAGCAAACTCCGGTGTTTACCTATGCCGCCATCTTGGTTTCTGGGGATTAGTTATATTCTGAAACCACCTAATTTAAGAGATAGCTTTTAATTTTTTAAAAAATATGTTTTTATTGATTTCAGAAAGGAAGGTGAGGGGGGTAGAAACATCAGTGATAAGAGAGAATCATTGATGGGCTGCCTCCTGCACACCCTTTACTGGGGATCGAGCCTACAGCCAGGAATATGTCCGGACTGGGAATTGAATCATGACCTCCTGGTTCATAGGTCGACACTCAACCACTGAGCCACATAGGCTGGGTGAGATAGCTTTTAAATGTCTTGTCAAGAATAGGCAACTTTCTAATTTTCTAGCCAGAGACCAAGGTGAAGATTTAAGAAAAACCATTAGCTTTTAAGAAATCATTGTCTTAATTGCATTACAATGATGTTTTGGAGCTGATTGCTCAATTAGTATAATCCTTTAAAAAATTATTCCCAATATCTTGCCCTCTCTCAAGTTTTATTTGCTTTGAAGGATTTTAGAATCTGGGACAATTCTTCCTATAAACTGTCATAGCTAGTTCAGTGCTTTTTGACCTCTCAACTGGAATACCCGAACCACCTCCAAACTGGTCTCCTTGCCTTAAACTTTTTCTTGTTAATATATTTTTATTGATCTCAGAGAGGAAGAGGGAGAGAGAGATAGAAACATCAATGATGAGAGAGAATCATTGATTGGCTGCTTCCTGCATGCCCCCTACTGGGGATCGAGCCTGTAAACTGTGCATGTGCCCTTGACCGGAATCGAACTCAGGACCCTTCACTCCACAGGCCGATGCTCTACTCACTGAGCCAAACCAGCTATGGTGCCTTAAACTTTATTCCTCTTACACTTGTCATTGAAACGGCCACCACTGTGCTTCTGGGCTTAGAACATACCATTCTTCCTAGTTTAAATCTTTTACCCATAAAATAAATACAAATTCTAATATGCATGTAGAGCCTCAGTCAGTTAGCTCTTACCTTCTGCCCTGTCTAATTTCCTATTGGTTTACCCTTTTTCTCACATCATGCCAAAATTAATTTTAAACTCTTTGTAGTTTTCTGCATTCATCTTCATGTTTTGTCTATAACATTCCCTGAAAGAAACACCCTTCTCAGTTCTTGGCTAAACCCTCTTCTGCCTTAAACACTATATTAATTGTCATCTGCCCAGGAAACTCTTCCCAAACTCCTTAGCTTTATCGCATGCCATATCACTACACTGTTATTACAGTGCTTTCTACATTCTATAGAAGTCATTTTTTTATACGAGTTGTCTTTATGAAAGTGTTAAGCTCTAAAAAGATGTCAACTTATTTGTTTTCCTAGGCTATATTGTGACTCATTGTTTGTTGAACTTACCTAATTACCTGAGAAGCTTACAATTGAAGCATAGGTCCAAAAATACAACAATTCACAGAACACAGAAGTACGAGGCTAAAGATATAAAGGAGGGATGGAGAGATGTAAATGTATATCAGAACTCCAAGATTTGGAAAATCCCCACATGATGTCTCTAAATTTCTTAGCATCCAGACCTGGGAAGGAAGCACCATGGATTAACTTTATAACCTTTGTAGTATGAAGTATACTAGTTACTCAGAAAAATAGATTGTTTCCTGGTAAGTCATATTTTAGAAGGATATGAAAAGAATTTCTGTTGCCTTTAGTATTTCTGATTCTGGTGAGCCTATTAAGAGATATTGTTAAGAATAGACAGTGTTATAGTAGAGTCTCCAACTAACCTAGTTTAAAGAAATTATTCCTTAAGAGAAAGTAGTTTTTCACATGTTCACTAAGCAACATTCTGACCTATAATTTAGGTCCTGAATGGGTTGACCAATTAGTGACCTACTCCTAGTTACCGTAACAGGTAAATTTTAAAATTGTAGTTATTATGTAAATTTGTTCTTTGTGAGGTTGTTAATGAGCATTAGTTCCCAGAGCCAAGTAAAACTGAGTAAACTGATAAAATAAAGGTGTCTAGTCTTGCAGTGTCTCAAATCCCGTAATGCCTGGATATGAATTATGTGCTTACTCCTTACCTGACATCCCTACTTCCCCTCAGCTGCCTGTGATGTCACCAGCAATAAGCATTTTTCTTTGTATTTATTTTGTCATATGTTTATGTTTTTTTAAGTTGCCCCATCCCATCTAATAAAAGAGAAACATGGTAATTAACCATACCTCCGCTACCCTTCCCATTGGCTAATCAGGGCGATATGCCAGCCAAGATGGCGGCCGGCAGCCAGGCAGCTTGAAGCAAACATGAGGCTTGCTTGCTTCAGTGACGGAGGAAGCCAACGTCCCCGCCTGCCACTGCCAGCCTCTGAGCTTGCAGTTTGAAACATTGTTACAAATATAGAAGCTAAACAAAACCCCAGAAACCTGCTTTCAGCCAGCCGGATCCTCAGAGCTGGAGTTGAAACAGTGTTTCGATTATAGAACCCAAACAAACCAGATACCTGCTTTCAGCAGCCGAGGTCTCAGAGCTGGAGCCAAGCCTCAGAGCTAAAGCTGGCCCAGAATTTAAAAAAAAAGAAAAAAAGGAACGGTTGGGAGCTTCAGTCACCCACCATCCTGAAAACAGCCCTCAGCCCCTCACCCAGACTGGCCAGGCACGCCAGTGGGGACCCCCACCCTGAAGGGGGTGCGGGCAGCCTGAAAACAGTCATCATCCCCTCATCCAGGCTGGCCAGGCACTCAAGCGGGACTCCCACCCTGATCCAGGACACCCTTCAGGGCAAACCAGCCGGCCCCCACCCATGCACCAGGCCTCTGTCCTATATAGTAAAAGGGTAATATGCCTCCCAGCACTGGGATCAGCGGATCAGCGTGACGGGGCAGCACCCAAACCCCCTGATCGCCCTGCGGCTCTGTGCATGAGAGGGCGCGGCGCCCCAACCCCCTGATCGGCCCTGCTCTGTGGGTGATACAGGGTGGCGCCCCAACCCCCCCCCACGGGCCCTGTTCTGTGCGTGACAGGGGGTGGTGATGCAACCTCCCCATCGACCCTGCCTTGAGTGTGACAGGGGGCAGTGCCCCAACCCCCCAATCGGCCCTACCCCGAGCATGACTGAGGGTAGCATCGCAACCTCCCGATCCGCCCTGTTCTGTGCATGACGGGGCGGCGCCCCAACTCCCCAATTGGCTCTGCTCTGAGCCCAACTAGGGGCTGCACCTAGGGCAACCGTGGGCAAACTACGGCCCGCGGGCCGGATCCGGCCCATTCGGCTGTTCTATCCAGCCCACGTAGCTGAAAGAGTGGAGGGTTCTCTTGCTCTCCCCTCCGCTCCTTCACCAGCAGCAGTGCTAACCTGTATTAGTTCACACAAACATTCCATCCATGCTTTTGTTCCGGCCCTCCGGTCCAGTTTAAGAACCCATTGTGGCCCTCGAGTCAAAAAGTTTGCCCACCCCTGACCTAGGGATTGGGCCTGCCCTCTGCCACCCGGGAGCGGGCCTAAGCCAGCAGGTCATTATCTCCCGAGGGGTCCCAGGCTGCGAGAGGGCACAGGCCGGGCTGAGGGAACCCCATTCCCCCTCGAGTGCACAAAATTTTTGTGTACTGGGCCTCTAGTCCTATATAATAAAAAGCTAATATGCAAATTGACCAAATGGCGGCGGAATGACCAGTGGCTGTGACACACACACTGACCACCAGGGGTTAGACACTCAATGCACGAGCTGTCCCCTGGTGGTCAGTGACCAGAAACCAGGCTCATGGCTGGCTAGTGCAGCCATGATGGTGGGAGCCTCTCCCGCCTCTGTGGCAGCTAAGGATGTCTGACTGCCAGCTTAGGCCCACTCCCTAAGCCATCAGTCAAACATCCCCTGAGGGCTCCCAGACTGTGAGAGGGCCTCTAGTAGTTATATATTCTGATATATATATAAAAAATATCTTACTAATATTAGTCAAAAGACTTCAATGGCTGACAACAAAACATAACACTTGTTCTTTATATACCCACTGGCATGAGAATATTCTCTCCTGACCATCAAGCTCTGTCCTGAAATATTACTACTGTTCAGTGTTATGTCAGAACTCATATGGAGGAGATAATTTACCTTTTTTAGCCAATTTATTATTATTCAAAGGTAAGTTTTATTTATTAAATACATTATTCTCTTAACAACTATTTTCTTTAAAATATGGCATATTTGAAAGTTCTAAGAGAATAAATCTTAAAAGTTTTCATCACAAAGAAAAAACTCTATAAACTGGCGATGAACATGAAAATTATTGTGGTGATCATATTCTACATACACATATGTCAAATCACTGTGTTGTACATCTGAAACTACGTCAGTTTATCTCAAAATATTAATAATTAAAAGAAGATTGAGCTTTCAAAGAAATTATGGATTCTAGCACTTCGATTATTCACATTTTCATCTAATATTGCCCTTTGTAGACAGTGTTGATTGTCATATTTAAAACTTCTTTTTGTCTCCTCAGTTTTACCGAGCAGAAGTTGAAGCTCTCCATTCTTCAGGTATGACAGCAGTTGTTAAATTCATTGATTACGGAAACTATGAAGAGGTGCTACTAAGCAACATCAGGCCCATTCAAACAGAGGCATGGGTATGTGATCCAAATTCTGTACACAAGCAGAAGCTAATTTGAAGAAAATACATAGCTTTGAAAAATTAGTTATAGTCATACAAAATTTTCCAGTGGAAAAATATTTTGAGTTTACTTAAAACTAGCCATCCCTAAAGAACGATTTTAATTTAATAATTACACTGAACTATAATAAAAATGAAAGCATTGCAATTACTTTTTTTGTATAATGCTTTGTTATATTATTCTTTAAAAATAGGTGCCCTTATTTTTGTTTACTAACAATGTGTATATGTAAAATTAGTTTTTTATGCATATTTTGTTACTTTAAATTTTACTAAATTATGTCCAGCAGTTGTCAAATTTAAATTTCTGTTGGATACATGTATATTCTTTATTTAGTTACATGTAAAATTAAGAAAAATACTTTAAGTATATATGAGTTCACACTGCAATTACTACACATATGTTTATGTATGTATATGTACAGAATAACTATAAATATATGTTTAATAATTATTTGATTACTTTTGTTTCTAAATGTTATGTCAAAGCTATGTGATAAGTTTAATGATGTAACTTAGAATGTGCTGGCCTCATGGAGTCCATTTTATTCAGGATTTATGTGACTTTATGTACATAGATTCTCAACTACATTTAGGCAAAAACAGGAGGACAAGACATATTAAAACTAGTTTGATAACTTTATAAATTTTATTTCTTTTCTCCAATTTGTGGGTAGCTGTTAATAAACTTATCTTTAGAAGCCTAATTTGTTGCTCTTTCAAAATTATTTTCATTATACTTCATAACTGTAATTTTGCTACTGTTATGAATCATAATATAAATATCTGATATGCAGGATGTATTTTCATTGTTACAAATTGAACATAATTAAAGCATAGTGATTAATCACAAAACAATATGTAATTATATATGTGTTTTTTTAATGGTCTTAGGTGACCCCTGTGAAAGGGTCGTTCGACCCCCAAAGGGGTCGTGACCCACAGGTTGAGAACGGCTGCTCTAGACAGTAGTCACCATCATTGAAGCACATGTTGTATTCTCATGAAGTGACTTTAATTTTGTTCTTTTTTTACATTTTTCTGACACAACCTCAGTCATGCTCCCTGTCCCCTCAAAAAGATAAATAAAACAACAAAAAAACCTTGTAGCCGTAATCATGTTTTGGGCCATGGATCTTGATTCTTTACATTTTTATTACAGAAAAACTATTTTCTAGGTAATTTATCATTATATATTTTACAGTGTAATATTACTAATGATTCATATGCTTGATTATTTTCTTCTCTTTTTCTGAAATTTAGCCACTTTTTCCCTAAAAAACTGAAATACTATCAATATCTAATTTATTTCTTTCTTTTCTTGGAGAAATTTGTTGTACTTAAATTTTTTCCCTGTTGATTCTCCTATGATGGCTATTTTTATTTCTTTTTTCTATTAATACATCTTAATCTAGTTTTTATGGTAAAAGCAATTATTTATTGAATATGTATTCTAGGAGTTGAGTCCCGGTTTGCTGTTTATCATATGCTCCCAAATGTGTTTAGCCATTACAGTCAGAGGTTAAAATAGAATTTTCACATTAGTTTTCTCTTTATTTTTTAGAGATTTAATAAGAGATTAATTTCATCTTTTTCTCCCTAAAGAGAAATTTAATTTTCTTCCTTCATTTCTTCTCTACTTCCTTTTTCTGTTTCAGGGTGGCCACAAGTGATGAGTACATTTGTCTTTCCTCATTGTAGCTCTTCCATTCAAAGGTGTTTGGTACTGAAGTGATCATTTTCTTTCCACAGTCAGTGGCTTTTCCTCCCCTCACCCCCAATAGTCCTCATTGCTTTATCATTGATTTTAGAGTTATGTAAACTTAGCTGGACAATAGCTTTACCAGATGTCACAGCCCATGTAGTGATTCTGTTTTGAACAGCAATGCGTTCATATTCTTCCTACCACTTTATGAGTACTCATATATACGTTGTGCTATTTTTTTCACCTGTTCTTTTTCTGCTTTCAACTTAAAATCTTTCTTATAAGATGTTTGGAATGTTTTTTCAGAAAGAAGCAGGATAGACTCACTAAATCTTTTGGAGATTCTGGTGTTTCTTTTCTCGTACTTACAAACAATGAAGTGATTGTTGATGTTTTATGATTTTGCAAAAATTAATATAACAAATATTTTTGGATCATGAACATCATTATTGAAGATAAGATTATCCTTTCTTCTTTATCTGCATGAATAATGACTTAGTTGTAGAAGCATCTTATTCTTGATATATAGAAGTCACCAGCTTAACATATCTTCATTCATCTCCATTTAAAAAAATACATTAAAAGCCCCTAAGAAAAAGTTATGCAGTTGTCAATATGTTTAATGTAGAGTTAGTGTAGAATTCTCTTAGACTTTGAGAGTATTAATGTTGGGGTGTATGAGCACTTTTTCTTTTTGTAACTGGGAAATTGTAACAAGTTTTAAGTTAATCAAAAGCAAAACATACACTATGCCAATAACAAGGTAACTCTAATTGGTAAATCATATTAGAAAAATTAAAGGGCTGTAAAGGTACAGCAAAGATGTTAGAAGCCTTAGCACAAATATTCACTCACACTATGGATTGTGTAATTTTTTATTTTTTTAACTCTTGCACTATATATGTGCATTACAATTTTTAATTGTGAAATGATGTTGTATCTTTTATTAAGGATTATGTTTGCTATTTGCAGAAGATATTGGAAAACCTGTTTTCCTAAATGTAGCAATGATTATGGATTGAAGATTTTTTTTATAGTTTGCAGGAAAAACAACTCAGAAAGCCTGTACATAAGCCAAAAGCTTCTATAGAAATCAGTTGCCTGTATTGTCTCTTAAAGGTATACGGGTAAACCATTAAATAAAAAGCATGAAATATTAAGAGACTCAATGACTAAGTTAATAGTCCCTTGTAAAGAAAATAAAAATCTAGTTAGTAGTTTAAATCTAAGTGTTAATATTTTTCTCATGAAGTTTAGGAATTATTGACTTAATTCTGTCTGTAGACCAAATGTCTGTTTTCCATTTCCATCTGGATACACCCTTTTATTTCCAGAACATACTCAGTGATTATATTTTAGTTGGCAAAAATTTATGTTCTGATTATGATTGAATACTTTATTTCCTCTAAAATTATTTACTAAACCTTTTGGTAAGTTTTTTTTAATTTTTTTACTTCTACCTAGATTTCACCTGGTTCTTTTAGGTATCAAAAAATTTCTTAAATTTAGTATCTTTGTTATAGTGAACTCTCTAATTATCATAAATAATGTGAGATTCACAGCTCATTCTTAACTGAATAAATGCTCTAAATTGTTTTTCAGTGGTCTTTAAACATTGTAGGATTTTCTATTTTATTAAAGTAGTTGAAACGCTAGGAGTCTCATTTTATCTGGAAAATTATATAGGGAGAAAACCATACTCTGTATTATTTTATACTTATGACCATTGTACGAGAAAACAGTAGGGGCAAAGAAAACCTCCTATTTATCTTCCCTGCAGTCCCCTCCAAATTGGTTCCTTTTAACTCTAAAGCTAATACCAGAAAACCAGTAAAAAGATGCCACAGGCAATTTGGAATTACTGAAAATACCCTGGTGCTGCTGCTCAGACAAATCTTTTGTGTTTTACTGTGTTGTTGCTTCTGAATTGCTTTTCTAAACCTGAAAAAACATTGTCAAGTCCTGATTCTCCAAGTATATTTATGACTTGAGTTCCATTGAGACTTATATCCAAAAAATGTTTTTAGAACATACTAGTTTCTAAACTTTCTTTTTAAAAGTTTATAATATTTGCTTCTTGGTAGCAGGAAATTATCACTGTTTGACTGTTGTTTTAACTAGAAAAAATATTGTATAGGTAATGGTTCTAATACCTTAGCATGCACAATATGGACAGGCGGTCTAGAAAGTGTAGATCATTGTTACTGTCTTTTAGATGATTATTCTATCTTAACTGTTTTCTGTAAGGTATCCATTTATTCCACAAATATTCATTGCACATCTGTTAGGTGCCAAACACTAGTCTAGGTCAGGGATACATATTTATAGGCAAAACACAAAATTCCTGCCCACTGTACAAAGTAAGAAGTCCCAGATCTGGTTATGTAAAGCAGACTTACAAGTAAGCATCTCATGAGAGTCTTTATTTATACTTTTTGAGACTTTAAAACAAAGTACAAATGGTGAAAATCTTGTTTACTGAAGTTTTCATTTAAATAATGTTTAGGTCTTTATTTATTCCACCTTAGTTTAAAGATAAAATTTATGAGAAAGTAGAAACTGTTATTTAATGAATTTTGTCTACTTAAAAAGTTCTTTTTATCTATTTAAAAAATAAAACTTGTCTATAGGAGGTTTTGGATTTTTAAAAATAATTATAATATATATTTCAGTTTTAGCATACTTTAAGAAAAGAACTGACAATCTTAAGTTTTACTTTTGAAGTAACTTTGTACAAAATTTATTTTATAATGACATCCTAGGAAGCACATTTGGAAGTTACCTTTTCAAATTCAGATATTCATAAAAATCCATAAATTATTCTACCACTAGTAAAAATATTAAAAAGAAATGTAGAACCAAAAAAAATCCTAACCTATTTACTGAGGAAGGAGATGGAGAGTTATAATACAGAAATTAATGAGTTAAAATGAATCCTAAATGTATTACAACAAGGTCATATAAGTAATTTTAATGTCATAATTATGCTTTATCTAATTTGTATTTGATATCAAAAGATCATAATAGATATTAAAAAGAAGACAATTGTTATAGAAACCATTCACTTCATAGGAAAATTACAATTATGTGAATGAAGTTCTGCCAATTAATATCCAGTAAAAAGTACAAGTACCTATTTCAGAAAGTTTTTCATCCTAGGTGATAAATTCTTAAATTAATTAGTGGATATAATTTACCATTTTTAAATTTCTGCATTAAAAACAATTTGAGCCCAGCTGGCTCAGTGGTTG